CCCCCCCCCCCCCCCCGCCGGTAGATTGTTTTGCTTGCACGATCAGATGTTGCTCCCATGTCATTCGCATCATGCTTCTGAGTTTCTGGCAGCTTCAGATAGGTGCTTGCATAATTTGCAGCAAGGCCACCCACAGCCCTTCACGTCCATCTAAACAGCAGCGGCCATAGTCGTAAACCTGAAAGTGCAACAAAGAAAGTTGGATGGTGCGCTTGTTGATGCTTTCAAGCGAATAGTCCCTCGAACGGTGTCTTCATACATCTTCCAACTTTGCAAGCTCATTCAGCACTGGTGTGTCTCGGTTGTTGAGGCTTGGCGCAGGGATCGCCCTCCGTACAGGTGAAATCGTGTTCATCGCAATTACGTGAATCCAGACCCCGCCTACAGACATCTAGAGCTGATGTGATTGCAATCGAACACCGCACAGACAAGCTAACAAATTACATAATGCAGCAGGCGTCACCAAGCTCCTCGCATGTCCCCGTATCATTCAATGGCTTCATTTGAATCGCATCCAGCACCACGATCACGTTGTTCATGAATGTTTTTGCTTCCTTCTTTCGAAAGTTGTGTATATGTGTGTGTGTGTTTTTCTGTATGTTGCTTTCTTATTCCAGATCCGGGCTACGTCCAATGGCCCAAGGATGCCCACGGGCCTTTGGACTAAGCCAATTGTTGTGATTGCAATGGTAAGCTTCGAATGTCATATGCGTGAATGCTCGCGCGCGGCTTTGGGTGCAGCATGAAAAAAAGCCTGCATCAAATTCAAATAATGGCCTTCAAGCTAGAGGCATAGAAAAACTCAAGGAATTGCAGCATTTCCGGCCACCCAAAAAAGTATTCCCTGCGAGGCTAGAGGGGTGGGGCTGGGCCTGCAAGTTCCCCATAGATCTCCATTTCGAAGCACAATGGAAAGAATGCTTTGATCCAGAGCTCGATTTCATGGTAAAATGAGGAATGCTGAAAAACTATGAAATGGATGGAAAATGGTGGAAAATAATGGAAATGATGAGAGATGATAAGCTGTGACGAAATATGATGACAAACAACGAAAATGAAGAAAGTTGATGGAAAATTGATGAAACTTTCTGAAATGATGAGCAGTGATGAGAGCTTGCGCAAAAGGATGAAAGCATTGAAAATTGATGAAACATGATTGGCAACTGGTGACAAATGAAAATGATGGACAATGGTGAAGATCGAGAGAACAGAATGGAAAATAATGGGAAAGGATGGAAAATATGATGAGAATTGACGAAGGAAAACTGATGGAAGATTATGAGAAATCATGAAAAATGATGGAAGTGATGAAAAATGACGATAATGATATGATAAGCAATGATGATAGTTGATGAAATATGAAGAGCATTCATGAAAAATGATGAAAATAGATGAGAGCTGATGAACATGACGAAAATGTGGCAACTGGTGAAACATTCTTAAAATGATGAACATCATGGAAACCTGCTGAAACATGATTGAAAGCCATGAAACATGATATGATGAAACATGGAAAATGATGAAAACCAACGAAAATCATGAAAATGAAATGATCTAAAACGATGACCAATGGAAAGCATGGATGGCCTTTAGAAAATGCCCCCACACACCCCCCCCCCCCCTTCGCAAACAAAATGATTCGCACAACCTTCCCTTACTGCAAACATAGTCATGACATCTGAATTTTAACTGCGAGCATGAATGGCCTGAAAAAACCGGGGGGTTGGGTGGAGGCGCAGCCCCCGCCCCCATTTGCAAACAGCATGATGCGCACAACTCTCCCCTACTACCAACATGCGCATAACATGATATGATGAAATGATGAAAGACCATCATGATGATGATGATGATGAAGATGGCAATGATGAAACATGATGGAATATGAAGACACATGATGAACATGTCTTAAGGTGCTTGATGAACCGATGACATATGGTGAATTTGATGAAGGGCAATGGAACAAGATTCAAACTTATGAAACTGATGAAAGATTATGACAAGCAAATGTGATCATGAAGATGATGGAACGTTGATGCAAAATGATACAGATTATGAAAACAATGAAAATTAATTAAACAAATGAAAAATGATGGAAACCGAAGAGAAATAAGAAAAAAACGGGTGACAAATCATTCAAACTAATGAAAATGATGACAAATAATGAAAAATGTGTCAACTGACTGACCATGGAGAAAGAATTCTGAGAAATACAGAAGCTGGTGACAATTTGTGACACATGATGGAAAATTATGCAAACTGAGCGAAATTGATGAAGAAATGGACAGTGATTAAAAATTACGAAAACTGCTGAAAAAATTGAGTCTGCCGGGGCCCGGCACCGGAGGACCAGAGGACCATAGAACCGGGAAAACAATACGTAGTCATGATAATCATCCTCATAATAATCGTAATAATAATCATACGACTCGTATGATTAGAAATAAGAGGAATAAAAGAGCAAGTAAAGAAGCCAGGAAGCCAGGAGGCCAGGAAGCCACGAAGCCAGGGAGACAAGTGGCCAGAAAGCCAAGAAGCCAGGAAGCCAAGCAAGCAAATTGCACAAGAAAACACAGTATGTGCTGGTGCAGTGTCAGAAGAAATGCCGTATTTACCGTACTTGCAGCCTTTTCCGCTCCTGAAAGCTGTAAACTGCAGTATGTTGGCGCTGATTGTGTTGATGCTTGATTTTTTGGTGCTTAATTTTGCGGTGTCCATTTTTATTGTTGTTTGATGCACGCTTCTTTTGATGCCTACTCCAAACTGACTCTGCTGGCAATTCTTCACATTTCCCGAATTTGACTAATCCCTATCTCGTACATGCTCTTCGTTAGACGATTGAAATTAGCGGATTCCTACTTCAGCCTACAGCGGGGCTGTCTGGTCGAATTCTGAATCACATGGATCTGGCTTCTTCTCCAAGAAGTATTGGTTCAAACAGTCGTTGACGTGCTTCTTACACTGAGCACTAAGCTTTAAGCATCGGCAGTCTGTGTTCACGACCTACCGTTTGCAACGAAGCTACAGGTGTAAACGAGATAGATCTCCAGCCTGATCAGCTGGACATACCTACAAGACACAAGTCCGCCCTTGTGTGGCACATTGGTTTTACGACATCTGCCTGCTTGCAAGACTGGATCCTCAGTACCCAAGCTTCGCACGTCAGAGAATCAGAAAGGACTGCCCCTTGTGGCTTGCTTGCAGATCACACACTTGCGCGAGGTTTGTTTGTCTTCTAACATTCATGTGGTGATTCATGTGTAGTGTTTGCAATCAAGCGGCTCTGAGCAAAGCTTTCCAAGTTGCAAACCCAGATTCTATTGCATTCCCAGATCCATTGCACTCCCTGTTGCATTCCATGACCTGCCCTCGTGGCCTTGCAAGTGTGTTGTTTTCTTTCGGCTCGGCTGGTTACATTTTGAATGTTGCTGGTACATCAGTCTACTACACCAAGCGTCAAGGACGATGGGTGGAGGAGATGAACATGTGAACAAACACATGGACGCATGTCAAGAGTGAGGGACACAGCCTCATGCAACCCAGGGGGGGTTGAAAACTCCCCAGGATTGGCAAGGCAATCGATGTGGAGAATGAGTCCACATGAGACCCCCCTACCCCATCAACTGGTTAAGGTATCAAGGGCAGGGTGGGTGGGACAGAATTTCTGAAAAGCGAAGATGATGACACAGTAGCATTCAAGACCTTAGTGGGCCCCACTCCAACCAACCGCACAACTTAGGAAACAATTACGTTGTTCGAGGTGTTTGCTGTGCATTTCACAAGGTCCGTTGATGCTGATTTGGCACTGCAAAGCTTTTTCTGGCCAGGAAACATCCGTCCAGCACTTTGCATCACCTGCAGCATCGAGATGGGGCTAACTAATGCGGGCTGCAGCTGGAAGACACCACGGTTATCTACAGCTGCTTACGTCTTGGTCTAGCCTGGTCTAGCCTGCTACTGCTACTTCCTGAACTCAATGCCACTTCATGCAAACGATGCTCTTGAAGAAACGCGCAATCCGATGCCCTCGCAGCAGAGTCACACCTAGCAGCGCGCCTGCAACTCCATGCTGCGTGTTGCAGCACCACTTAGCATCCAATTTGCCAGTTCTATCCTGAAGCGGCGGACTATGGCTGCATGGGCAGCTGCTTCGTGCAATACCGAAGCATCGTGGACACCAATCAATAACTTTCCCTCCAGCCTCCTGAAAGCAGGGCGGCTCAAGACGCGGCGCGGCAGCGAGGCGCCACGTCCTTTCGCTCGAAAAAGCCCCGACTGTGTACACAAATGCTTGCGCTCCGTGCCCAAGAGACTGTGAAGATACTGCATTCAACACACAAACAACTGTGCGCTGCAAGCGCAGCAGTCGAGGTCCAGCCATCCAGCAGTTGACGAACGTTTGCCTCAGGCGTGCAGCGTGCGCTTCAGGGGTTCTTGGCAATGGCAGCAAGACACTGAATTAACGGAAAGGTTGCAGAGGCTTCGCTGACCTCGGCGCTGTATTTGTACGAGAAAGCAGCCGGATTGGTCGGCCGAGTGCAGCGCCCGTACTTTGCACGCCGGCCCCCCATGCAGAGTATTGCACCTGTAGACCCAAAACGCCGAATCGGCACCCGATACCAATGCATTGCAGCCAGCAGGGACCACTCCGGGCCACGATAGAAATCCGAGGCTGGGAGTCTCCCTGTTGCGCGGTGCATCATGGGTAGAAAGCTGCCATTCACCAACCAGGGCCACCTGCAGAAGTACGGCTTTGCATACTTTCGCGGCACTATAGCGAAGCGATCATTGATGCCGTCCCAATCCTGAAGCACAGAGCCAAATCACAGCAATAGAGTGTCATGCTTCAGCTTCTGCAACCATTCTGTGAGCAGCGCCGAGAAAGAGCTGAGGCATGGTCTTGCCCATCTGGAATCCACACGGCTGCTGGGTCAGCATCCTCGAAAACGGACAAGTCAGGTGGCAGCGCAAGCCACAGCCAGTCCAGGCGAGCGTAAATCCAGTACTTGTAGCCTCATGCCACGCATGTCGCTCCGAACTAGAGAACCCATGACTACAAACAACTGTTGGAAGGCAAGGCGCGTTGGCCACGTTCTGCTTCGGCAGCAGTGAGGAGCTCCCAGCAATGGAAAAGCGTCCGAACATGGAAGGCATTGCCTGAAAAATTACAGTTCACTGAGTTCGCTGCCATTCACTGCTTAGGCCTAGTCCTGGCAATCTTCGATATGCTGAATCTTGGCAGAGCGCGGCCCTCAAGCACTGCTAGCGGTGCAAGGAAACTGCCAGGGATCTTGCGGTATGCCTCACAAAGCATCAGCATGTCAACTCACTTGTCTGCTTTTTCTCGTGTCCACTGCAGTGCTGGCCTCAAGAATATCTGAGCCATTGCTGCCCGAGTAATATCGAAGATCCTGCCGCCAGGGGCTGTGAACAAAGTTCACTTAGCCCCAACTGCTAGTGACTGCTAGTGCGGCGTGATCTCATTATACAGCTGGAAAAGTGCCCACATCATACCATCCAGCAACTGCAAACATCTTCAAACCCCTGCAAGTCCGCCAGCAAGCCAGCCCGACCGCGGCCTTCCACCTCAGGGTCGGGCTCCCGTTCTGTATTAGGTGGGAAGTAGTCTTCCAGAGCCCTGATCTGCCAAGAAATACAAACCAAAGGCCGCTGCATTTAACCTGCGAGCCTCAAAAGACACGCCTTTCAGCCACTTTGCGTCCAAGTCCTCTCGCAGCCCTTCGCCCTTCATGGCACGGCAACGGGATGATCATGATGGTCCCCATCTTCACTGTTGCTTGTACTTCTTACGCTGCGCCTTCTGTGCCAGCAAGGCATAAGCATCGGCCTTTGCAAATATTGTAACTGCAAGTTGGAATTCGGCTTTCGGGTTTCGAGGTGCAGTGTGCCTCCAAAATCTTGGCAGCCTCTGCGCTCTGGTCCAAGGCCACCTGCGCCAAGAACACAGGACCACAACAAGTTACAAGCGGCTTGGATGCCTGCTCACAATGCGTCCCCACCCTCACCGCAGAGCAACACGTAAGCGTTCCGCCTGCGGAGGCCTGCGGTGTGCCGGGCCTGCAAGACAGAGCGCCGCGGAGGCGAGACCTCTCGGTCCAATTTGCAGGAAACCCAGGTCACTGAAAGTCGGGCTTCAGCATGGAGATGACATGAAGACAGCTCGCAGGATGCAGCTTGAAATGAAATGGGCCTTCTGCTGCAGCTGGCGCGAGAACAAGCATCCAACGCTCGGGCATGGCTGTATGTGCGCCATGGTTACCCGAGCAGTAGATCGATTGAGGAGTGTTGTACGGGACATCATGCTCTGCTGTTGCTTATTGCCAGGAGCTCCTGTCAGGTTGTTGGTGTTATATGAACTGGATCAGCCAACAGACACAATCCTCTGAACACAGTGTCCCTCAGCCCACTGCGTAGGAGTACACTGAATGTTATTTTCTAGCAGTGGGGCCTGACTGCTCGAGTTTGACACTTCTATATACTTCTGGTCCGGCCTGTTAGAAACCGACTTTGCGGATTGAAGCACCGGCTCTAATTTCGAAGTGCCCAGCTGTGGGAAGTTTGCATGGAATTGGACCATGATGTGTTTCGCATGTCCCTCCCATTGTAAAAGTAATTCTGCAGCTCCAGAATTGCCACGCCCACCTGCTCTGAGCTACTGCAGGAAAATCGGAAAATGGCTGCGAATGTTAACAGCTCCTGAGCAAGCCGCGCCCGTGCCAGTTGATCATGGCTGCAGAGCTCAAGGCGGACATGGCTCGGCCTACAATAACAGTGCCATAGCTTTATCATTATCAGCATGTCAGCTGCCTTCGGGCAAAGACGACACTTCCACCGCAAAAGCAAGACTCAGGAAGACCTGAGGATGCGTCTGGTTCGCTTAAGTGGTCGGCGCTGGACCCAGAGGTTGTGCCTTGTGGGGGAAGCAGGGCTTGTGATGAATTCACGATTCGGTTCAAAGGGGATGGCAGAGCTCTCAGACTCCGACAGGCAGTTCCACCAGTTCCACCGGCGATAATGCGTCCATATACCGTGAGACTGAACTGCACAAGGACAAACACTGATCTCACGCAAGTATGAGAGGCAGGGGGGGAACTTAGAGTCTGCAATTAAAGGTTGTCACAAGGAAGAAAAGCTCCATAGCAACAAGCCGCCTCAATGGAACAAGTCGGCCCTATCCCAAAGTGAAGAACTGAAACTCGGGATTCCAGGCCTGCTGGCTAGCAACCTGCAGGACCTGCATCAAGTCTCAACGAACCATCAACGACAGTGCCACATAGACATTTGCTGACTGTCCCATTGCGGAATGCGTGTTCAGATCCTTGCCTGCAAGACACCGAGCAGCTCCAGAACATGCCTCCTTTGCGGCCGAACTTGTGATCTGCTGGCTTGCCATCTCGTAGTTGACTTCTCTCTACGGGGCTTCACACAAAAGCTGTCCAGTACCAGCATCCCACCGCAAAACACGTGTACTCAAATGACCCAGCTGGCTTATTTGGTTCCATCGGGAACATTCAGCAGGTCCTGGTGCGACGAATCCAGCACATCACAAGGCGACAAGCCTCAGTGCTGGAACGTGGTGGCGTCCATGAACTGTTGGCTTTACAAATTAGTTCACGTCATCTAGTGCCCTGCTGCTGTCAACTGGTGCAGCCTTGAAGGGAAGGCTCCCGCTTGACGGCACTGGGAAAGACAAAGCAAACATACATACGAACGATGCCAAATCAGGTTGGGCCTCTCATGCAGCACACATTGATAGGCGCTTGTTGCTTGGCCTGCCAAAGAAGAGTTCCCTCAAAATCCCTTGAAGGATGTCATTACAATGTGTGCAGGCATCGAACCTGGCGCAAGTTTTATCAACATGGGCACCCGGCACATCACCAATTTTCACATGTTGCTCGCATGCAACGTCGGCTTTACCCATGTAAGCTATGCCATGGAATCATGGTTGACAACAGTTGCATGAAGTGCTGAGATGTACTAAGTTGCGCTGCGGCCCTTAGTGTGGCTCACTGTTGTCCGAGCTGGCAGCTGTGCTTCAAATGTTTCATGAGGACCGCTGTGACGAAAATGGGGATCCTTCATACATGTCGTACACACCACGCTCCATCCGAAAGCGTCCTGAGCCAAGTCAAGGTGCAATCTTCGAGCAGCCTGTACGTTGGGCATTGTCTACATCTGCTCCCAGGTTTCACTTTTGGTGAGAGCTGTGCGAGTCGATCACGGGTCTGCTGTGCTCTCAGCCCTGAGATCATTGGACCTCGCGGGCTTTCCTCCTGCAGTGGCGACAAGCATGCCGAAATGGCATGACTGGCAAACAAGATCCAGCTTCGTGTTGAATCTACGTCGCGCACAAGCTTACCCTGTTCAGAACTTGCGAATCTTTGATAAGACAATGTGAAGTGGAGATGCAGGGGGGCCCAGCAAGAACAATGCGGCAGCAAGACAACAGGGAACAACGTTTTGGCTGCTCGTTAATGCAGTCTGCTCACGCCTAGTTCATGGCAGCGCCTTGTAGACTCTCCCCCGTCGACTGAACAGCCCTGATCAACATCATTAGCAAAAGCCCCTCGAAATCTGTGCGCCAGCTGTCATACCATCATACACAAATGCGTCCTCAAGTTCCTGGTCATGGCTGCCACCTCTCGGTCCCTTTGGCACACACGCACCATGAATCAAGCACCAAGTGCAGGATTGCAAAACTTCATAGTGGACATGCTACTCGTAAGTAAATCTGCGGAGCCTCCGCTCCTGCAACAGCTCTGTGAACCTGCGAGCCACTATAAGGCAACCAAGGCACTTGCTGCATAGAGAGTCCATTCGACGGTTCTGTCGTCGATCCAGGACACTCCCATCAGGGTCGGCCACGTTTGCCAAGATGTGCCGGGCCACAATTAGGCATGTAAGTAGGAGCACTGGCAGCATGAGCGAGACCAGGACGACGACTCGAAAATCCATGCCGCAGGCACCGATGTCTACCAAGCGAAACCCCTCTGCGCTGCGGCTAGCATTCTCTGCAACAAGCACGTAGCTAGGATGACACCGCTCTGTCCAGCCACAAGAGCACCCCTCCGCACATCCTGGACGCCGAGTGCCATCCCAAGAGCATGGAGATGATGTAGCAAACAAGTTCTGAGCTAGGATGTTGGGCTCCTTGGCATTGCAGTCAATAGTCTAATTCCAGCTAACTGTTTTAGATGGGCACGGGCGAATTGGCACCTTGAAACCTCATCCCTGAACACGGAGACCCTGTGCCCAAATAACTGCATACCCAAGCAACTCGGAGGCCACGCACAGAAGGTTGACGCCGCGGCGCCGTGCTCTCCATCGGACCAAAACCCTGAAATTTGGGTGGACCCAAGTTTGGTGTAAACGAGAAAGCCTCCCTATCGCAACTTCTGGCCCTGGCATAGTGCAATTACACATTGCAGTGCGCACATACTTGAATCGCCGCAACGACGCCCCCTGGAGCCTCAAGCATGCAAATCATGTGAAACATGCTTTGGTATTTTGTTCTGGAGCAGTGGCTACGGTGCCTCAGGCATCAACAAAATGAGATATATCAATGGCGTTTTGTCGGGCACCTCGCGTCAGGGAGCCCCTTACGCTTTTAGCGTGGGACATGGCTGAAGGACGGGAGGATGGGTCCTGCGGCCTTTGGCAGGATGCCATTCAAAGGACCCAGATGCCCACATCAGATCTGTAATCGTACAGTTGCGGCCAAAGCCGCCTGCGAGTTGCAGAGAGAGTTGTCGAAATTAAAGATCTTGGGGTCACTTGCCACTGTTTTTGGTCAAAGGTCCGGCCGGGGGTCCGGCTTTATGAAACGGTACTCTCCACCCACTACGGAGCTGAAGCGCAGGGGCCGCGCTAGAGTTTGCAGCTACATGGTGATGTCAACATGGCTGTGCTGAATGCACGGCTCCTTCTGCGCAGAAAGAGGCACGGTACGACAAGCACTTCGAAGCATGCAATGTCGCAGCTTTGGCTTTCCGACTCAGCGCTTCCTAGACAAAGCCACTGCAGAAAAAGTACCAAGTAGCACAATATAGCACCATGTCTCAACGGAGTTCAAGGAGATTTGCCAAAGGTGCTTTTGGAGGTCCCAGGCCAGGAAAGCATTAGCGATCAGGCACTGGTGCGAACTACTGTGCTCGGTCACAGGGCCCCTGGAAAAATCTCCCGCTACTGCACTATGCTGACACCCTGCATTGTGCTTTAATGGCTTCTCATCTGCACTGTGGCCGAGGCTGTATTCAGTGAGACGCACTTCGTCTCGGGTGCATGCATGCATAAAATCCAGCAATGACATCGTATTCTCCAGCAGCAGTTCGGGGCTGACTCCTGAATTTGGCTCGGGGGGCCAGCTGTGTGCCGGTGCAGACACCTTTAGAGTAACTTCGTCATCCCCTTAGGGACATGGATTTACCAATGTTCACACCCATGAACGTGGCAGGACGTGAGCAAAACGGAGCTCCCCGTGCCATTCCTTGGACTCACTATTGAAGCACAACCGCGCACGCGGCAGCCTCAGAGATGCATCTTGTGGCTGACAGACAGCCTCGTGACAACTGCTACTATGGGCAGGACTAAGGTGAAGATAGCAACTGGTACCACTCGAGGGACATTTGGCCAGTAAGTAGCCTGAGTGGCGCTGTGAACACCAAACGACTTAGCAGCCATCTTTTTGCAGCTCCAACTTCTGAAGAACCTATCTTAACCAAACCCGCACCGGAGTATAACAGCACACTGCACGGCCAATGTTCACTGCGTAGGCACATCCTTTTCCTGCAGCATGCTGGACACGGTGACGTGCATGCAAGTCAAATTCTACTTCTACTTGGCCGATGGGCACCCGGTCAAGTACAACTCACTCTCTAGCATCCATCCGATTAAAGCAAATTCTTGCCTGCCACTTTGCTGCAGCAGAGTCTGCTTTGAGTAAACTGCTTCATTGACCGCCAATCATTAGCCATGAAGTGAGAATTGTTGCTGGCCTGTACGGTCAACTCATGGACATTAGGATCTGAACGAGGAAAACCCATGGTCACCCTCAACAGTGGCCATAAATTACGTGTGCTAGTACGGGTTGCACCGCACGCCTGCATTGCACACTACTTAACTACTTGAACGATTGCCGAGAGCAAAGCGAAACCTGGATGTCCTTGGGAATCCAAGCTGAGGAGCTCTTCCTCTTTTGAAGGCCACCAGGGATGCAGTCATGTCCAGCCAGCAAACTCTCAGCCAGTGACCAGATCATGGATAGCAGCCGAACTAAAGCAGCGTAGTCACATGTGGAAGCAGAACCACTGCTGCATACCGTAAGTCAAGTACGACAGGACTCACCTGCACCCACCTCCTTCATTTGAATTCCCGAAGCTAGATACACCAGACCTGAGGTGCTGAATTGACTGCCTTCTAGCAAATTTACAATCCTGGATTTTGCTGTTTCCATGCTCTCTCCAGGTTTGAAAGCTTGTGAAGAGCTCGCTCTAAGACGTCTGTGCAAGCACATCCTGCCTGAGCAGGGTAAGGAAGAGCAACTTGTATGTTAGCGGGCTTCAGAGGTTCCCGTCTCATGTCTATCATCATTTCAAGCCTTTAAATTAGGCAAAAACACGTGTTTCGTCCTATGCCATCTAGGAGTCATTTTGTGCACTGAAGGCACCTGTGTGGCCTTGGCAGGCATCCCAAGCATGTCATCATAGAATTGTGTTCTCAGAAATAGGGTTTGTGTCACTATATCCACCCATTGCTTGGCAGGTCAGACTTGCGCCGAGCGCTTCCACGCTTTTCACATCTGTCCCGAGACAGTTGCTTCCTGACACCTAACCTGTTGGCTGTTCGTAGGGTATGTAGTATGTAGTGGCATGCCAGCTAGACATGCTTATTTCTCCATGTCGGTCAATTCAATGTGCTTCAGCGCCATGTGCCCTTTGCAGCCCCTAGCCACAAACACTCGTGAAGGCTTCTGTCGGAGTCCTTTGGGATGGGTGCAAGTCGAGGTGGGGATACCTTCATGCAAGTAAACTGTAGAAATTTCTCATGCTGGGCTCGCTAGCAAACACCTGATGCGCCAGCTTTCAGGTGACCTTCCATGTAGCACTGCAAATGCTCTCCTACCTTTTGCGTACCATTGCGTACCAAGACCTACACGAAGAGCTGCACGGAACCGACACCTTAAAATATCCGAAAACCCATCTCACGCTTCCAGGTCGAGAGAGCTTCCACGGCGTGGAGCCTCCAGTGCATTAATGAAAACATCCTACCAACCCAAAGATACATAAATCTTCTAAGCAACGCCGACTTTGAAACAACAGACCTTTATGCCGACAAGTTCGCAGACCCTCCAACATGCTGCTCTGCAGGCATCTGTCGTTCAGCGCTTGTTAGGCAGCAATTAGCATTCTGCAAAGTTTGCGCGTCGCACCAAGGGCTAAATCACTTGGACGTCTGCCAGTATTTTTGTAAGCTCATCCACTCTAGATTGCGGGAATTGGGCCGAGTGGCATCTTCATAGTCATCCCAGGTGACTGAAACATGTGCCTGGAGTTGTCTCTGCACACTTTAGACAAGGTAGTTGGATGCTGTTCGAGATTCCAGGCATGGCTGGGCACACCAAAGTGGGTGCAACCAAGAAGCCAAGGCAAAGTCACGGTCCGCTTCATAGGTGAGATGTCCTTGTCACGCCATCTTGACATGGCACGAAGAGATGATAGGCTTCGGGATCTTGCTGACATGCTGTAGTGAAGAATGGCTCCTGCTGTCCTCCCTCATACAATACTTTGCACTCCGGACTTGATTTCATGCCATGACTGGGCCGAAAACTACTCTGCAGTGGCCTTCGAACGCACTACTACTCCCAGGATGCCGGAAGTTTGATATGAAACCAATAGCATGCATGTGAATCGTCCAGCCACAATAATCGTCATGAACCAAAGGCCCCAGCCATATCCAGTCATACTGCGCTCGTTCTGGACTACTTAATTGACTTTATTGTACTTGGACCCACACGGACAGTCTCCAACCAAACATATACTGACAATTTCGGAACCAAGAGTCTAGAGAGACTGGCCGCAGCCTTGGTACAAGCAGGTAAGCCATTGAACTCGGAGTCGCCTTTTGATAGCAAAGTGAAGTGCAGAAGTGTAAGAAAGGAACGGCCCTGAGATCAAGGTGCCCATGGGCCGCAGGGTCGTGAGAGCCTGGAGCAGCTGCAGCAGGCCCAAGAAGCAGAGCTTGGACTTTATGAAGTTTGACTTTACAGTCCAGAGAGAGAATGCAGGAATGTTCAGATTGCCGTGATGCTGAAATCTGTGACATTCGGCATGTTGCGAGCCTCCAGCTTGACCAGAGGCCTTAGCAGTGCAGAGCATGATGCCAGCAGCCCCTGCTTCATCATGAACAGTTCAGGGACCACACCTTTCCGCTCAATAAGACTGGACCCATGCAAGTGACTGTTACACATGCTCCAGTCTTGCGACCTCCTACAAAGTGAAGTCTTGCGGCCAAAAGCACTGGTTGAGTGGGGTGGTGCCCGCTACCCTGTCTGGGCCATAGTTAGCCATGTCCAGACCTGAAGGGCTGAAAGCGCGTTTTGCACGAGACCCATCTCATGGAGGACTGGAAATCCAATTCTAGGCCCTTAGGTCTAGGTCCTCGGCGAAGCATGTATAGACAACAAATACGGAGGTGAGACTGGACGATATGGAACGCATTGATACTTGTCTTTACCCCCGAATAACAAGTGCCACTTGCAGACAGGGTGCCGAAAAAACATTCATCCAGGTACGGGAGCTGAAAAATAACCTGGGATCGGCTAGGAATGTACAGACACTGGCAGGAGGAGCTTTATCTTTGGTTGGGCACCCAACTTGAAAGTGCGGATGCAAGCAAATTATTTCAATAAATCTCGTGCCAAGGATGCAACTGTCTCGATGAGCTGCTCCTGGCCAAACTCACATCAAGCAGGCCACTGTCACAAGGCTGATGAAATAGCGCTCCTGACTTTGGGAGAAGGCCACGAACCCGCCCGGTGCCAGGCAGTCCTGGCTCTTTCCGGATTCACTGATGATGAAAATAGAGAAGCCACTACCACACCGCCTTTGCCAAGCTGTAAAAGCCAGCGCACAGAAAGTTCTCAACTTCCTTCCGCCGGATGAACGTAGGCACTACCGTCGTTGCTATGCAACTGGAGATGCTGACCTTGCAGCTTTCTTGCACACATGCCGGCCTCCGGCGGCTTGATCAAGGCATCGGGAGCTTGCAGATGTATGCCAAGCCTATACTCTGACAAGAGTTGACGACATCTTCAGCCGCAAGGATCTCACATTTTCAGGCCTCTTGATGCTGCATCTTCTTTCCAACTGTGTCAGTGGCAGCATGAAGGTGAACAGGCCCAGGGAGTCCTGCCACAGCACATCAGGAGCAAGACCCCGAGCCCGAGCATCACAACTTAGAAAAGCATGAGACTCAAACAGCCTCCAGCCCCATAGCCACCACCACCTCCTCCAGTTGGAAAGCTTCATTGGCCTTGTTTGTGCCAGGCGCTCAGCGAAACTGAAGACAGTTCAATAGTGAAGTGTCAGATCTTCAGCATGTGCCAGCAAACCTGCCGCCTGGTCCCAAATACCTGCAGAATTGCTCTTTTCCCTTGTGCCCAGGCACTGGATCCAGCAAGCGTAGCATCCTTATGTGAGCGGCAGATTCACTGTCTTCCTGGTCCTGTTGTTGTAAACACCTGTCACTTGTTTAAGTTGCACAAACCACGGCAACTGAGATCTCCTCTGACACATCTACGTCAAAGTTCACTCCAAGAAGGCATTGCAATGCATGGGGGCACGTAATGAGATGGCGTGCCGCCATGGTGCGGTGCTGAGATGGTGCCTAGACGGCGCAAGGCTCGTGCCCCCCGCAGGGCCGCCGCCATGTGCAGCAAGGCGCCTGGAAACAAGAAAATAATTTGAAAATGATGTCAAACTGAAGGTGAGGGCAGCTGTGTTTTTTCAGCACAGAAGTCTGCCCATGGCTCGAGTGCCTCCCGAGAGCCCAGCAAGGGCATCCATTTGCAGGCGGCAAAGCCTTTGAAAGATGCCACCTGCAAAGCGGAAGCGCAGGCGCAAGGAGTTCATGAACAGCTGCTCCCATGGACATACCATCAGTTTTCGCTGGCACATGCACCGTCATCGCGTGCACGCAGGCATCAGCAGCTCATGTTGCCTTGACTCCTTGCTTCTAGCTTTGCTGCGCAGCAAGCTTGGCACAGCCCCGAACTGTCCCGGCTTCCTGGAACGCAAAGTGCCTTCACCCGCAAAGGGCATCGTCAGCAGGTTGGCCGTCTGAAGAGAGCCCAGGTTTCCGCATTGCACTCAACACTGGCCAGCAGGTCTGAACATGTGCTAACGGCTTACTTGAACGCTTCCGTTGCAAGCCAAGGCTCCAAGAAGTAGCTGCCCTCCACCCCCTCTCCGAGCGCAGTGCCTGGCACATGAAACTGCAGGAGTCCGAGCCCCAACGTTTAAGCCAGCAACAACATGTCTGTCTATCCAAGGTGGCCTGGGACTTCGTGAAAGCTGATCCTGCAATCGCGAGATGCAACCTGTCAAAGACGTGCTAATAAAGAGCAACTATGCAATACTGCTGCGAATACGATGTTTCCGCGTTGTTCTGTATTGCTTGCAGGATCCGATGCTATCCTGGAGACCAATCACAACAGGAATGCAGAGGATGCCAGCACCTCGCACCTGACACCTGAAATGCATTCGGACTGGCCTGGATATATTCCCCAAGAAAGCCCCATAGTCCCAAACTGACTTTGCTCGGACCCCCGACTATCTTTCCAGCTTTGCAGCGTGAGACACCCTTCGCAAATTGGAATCAAAGCCCGTTATCCCCTCCTGCAAAAACCCAGCGGGCTCACGCCCGCCCTGATCCTGGGCAAACTTGAGGGGCGAGCCGAGGCCAACGAAAGCTAGCCAGGCTTTATGTAGCATGGAGTAGAAGAGGAGGAGGGAAGGTACATGCCAGCAAAAAACACAAAGCTCGTCAATTGGCGCGGAAAACCCATCGCAGAACCTCGCCAACTCGACTCCAGTGTCCACTTCTCTTTGCACCCCATTTTTCTTTCAAACCTTCTCCTCCCGACTTTCCCCATTCTCCCAGTCTTTGCTCCACGTTTCACTCCACTGTCCAGTCTAACTCTGACTTTACTCTGGACTCCACCCTCACTCCAGAGATCACTCCAGTTTCCACTCCACTCTTATTCACGTTCTGCATCACTCACCACTCCACTCTGCAATGCAATTTCTACTCCACTCTCCAGTCTATACTCCACCCTCCACTGCTTTACCACCTCACTCTCCACCTCTTTCGACCACACTTTCCCCTCACACCTGTCCTTTCCACGCCACACCATTACCCAGTTTCGCAAGTAGCATAGTCCCAGCAGTCTCTG